AAATGACAACACTGTATTCTACTTTGCAAAGGTCTCAAAAGCAGTGACTATGTCGCTTGGAGTCAGACGACGTGGGGGCCCTTAGCAATGTCGCTGGGATGGGAACCAGCGGGTTGGAGACAAGCTGCAGGAAGAATTTTTGTGGTGTACTTTTGTGAAATAAGAAATACACATTTGGTGTCTGCCCCAGTTCCTGAAAGAAAGCTCTGAAATCACTTGGAATTTCCTGGGTGATAGGAATATCTTTTGTTCTAAGGAGGTGACTCTGGGTGGGCTCCCTGATGGTTTGTAGATGAGGGCTGGTCATGAGAAACACCTGCTATGGTCAGAAGCGTGGAACTTTCAGCCCCACGCCCCCATCTTCTGAGGAGGGAGAGGGGTTAGAGATTGGGTTCATCATCCATCACGCCTGCGTGAGGAAGCCTGAACAAAAGTCCCTAAGGTACAGGCCGCAGAGAGATCCCAGCTTGGTGGGCACATGCATGACTGGGACCCGAATGCACCACAGTTCCAAGGGCACAGAAGCTCCTGGGCTCAGGGCCCCTCCAGACCTCACAGCAGGCATTCCTTCACCTGGCTTTATACCCATATCCTTTGTCATGAGCTTTATTAAATAATAAACCAATAAACATAAACGTTTGAGTTCTGTGAGCCATTATAGAAAATTAACCAACCTGAAGACAAGACAGCAGGAGCCTACAGCCATGTTGTACAGAGGTGGTGGGTAAGCTAGAGACCTCCTACCTCGACTGGCATCCAAAGTGGGGGCAGTCTTGTGGGACCGAGCCCTTGACCTGTGAGAAGTGATGCTAACTCTGGGTAGACAGTGTCAGAATTGAGTTGAACTGTAGGACTTTCAGCTGGTGTCTGAAGGAACAGGAAGGAGCAGGACAGCTCGAGGCCAGAAAGCAGCCCAGAAACACAAATCAGTGGTCCACGAACAGGCAAGAAGTAGGCCATCAGAGTTTCCCCAAAGGAATTTATTTTTATTTCTCTGAACTAATTAAGTGCTACATTTATTCATTTATCTATTTTTTAAGATGACCCTATGTTTGGAATTTATATATTTTTTTAAGATTTATTTATTTGTTTTAGGGAGAGAGCATGGACGGGAGGGGGCAGAGGGAAAAGGAGAGAGAGAGAGAATCCTCAGGCCAACTCCCCACTGAGTGCAGGACCCCACACAATGCTCAATCCCAGGACCTGAGATTATGACCTGATCACGATCTGGAAACCAAGAGTTGAACACCTAACCGACCGAGACACCTAGGGGCCCCTGTTTGGCATTTATTTGAAAATATGAGGCAACACTGGAGGATTTTAGGCAGAGGCACTGTGAGACACTATACAATTAGGTTTATTTTAATATAGATAAGATGAAAACTGGATTGGGAAAGGAGATGTGTGAACACAGACAGAGGAGTCAAGACACCGCTGCAACATCTGAGGGAGAGATGTCAGTCACCGGAGAGATGGTGACAGGGTAGGCCAAGAGACATAGACACACCAAAAAGACACTCCAGTGCTAGATCACAAAGGACTCAGGAACATATCTAGTTTGAAAGTGAGGGACAGAAGGTGATTTCGATCAGTGGTTCTCAAGTTTCCACAGCACCTGGGACACCTCTTAAAAATGTAAGTCGCCAGGCTTGTGCGCAGAGCTTCTGGTTCTGCGGGTCTGACATACAGGGATGCTGCCACCTGAACTTCAAATTAGCAGCCCTGGCAACTCACACACTGATGGTTCTCCTGTCACATTTTGGGATGCACCCATTTAGACAACTCCCAACCTTCTGGCTTACGTCAGTGAGTGAAGTTGGGATGGGGACACCATTTACGGGAAAAGAGAACAAAACGGGGCAATGGAAGGTGCGAGTGGCAAAGGCACAAGGATGGCCTCTGCGGGGCATGTGTGATGTCTAGAGTTTGGACAACTTCTGTGGGGCTGCCTGAATGGTCTTTCTGATGGAAGCAGTTCATCAGCTAAGGGTCAAGTGTGCCTCCTAAACGTGATTTGATATAGAATGCTTCAAGGCTTCTGAGCATGTCAGGAGCACATGTAACCGTGACGCTGGCCCTGGCCACCTCTCTGAGGTACCTTCCCCGCCCACATCACTCAGTCCCAGCCATATTGTCTTTTTCCTCTTGATACCAATGTGGCTTGGTCCCTCACTGTATCAGGTCTCTGCTAAACTATCTAAAATAGTAATTTCCTTTCTTAAAAATTTATTAAATAGAATATCTTTTAGAGCAGTTTTTAGGTTCACAGCAAAACTGAGAAGATACATTGATTTCCCATGTCCCTTTCTTCCTTAGCAACTCCTTACTTTCTGGTGCTGGAAGGTACCCCAGGCTCATCTTGTATGCTCCGTGCCTCAGTCCTAGAATAAACCATTTCTTCAAAGAGCTTGGTTTCCCTTATGGCAAAAGGTTAACAGAAGCCAAGATCTGGGGATGCCTGGGTGGCTCTGTCAGTTAAGCGTCTCTTGATTTGGGCTCAGGTCATGCTCACAGTTGTGGGACTGAGTGAGCCCTGTGAAGGGCTCTGTGCTCAGCTCTGAGTCCGCTTGAGATTCTTTCCTTCTCTGTCTGCCCCTGCCCCAGCACACACACACTCTCTCTCAATAAATAAATATATAAAATCTTAAAAAAGCAGCAGCAGCAGATGCCACCGCCGCCAAGATCTGGGTGCTGGGTGTTTGCTGCGGCTGCAGAGTCACTGCCTCCACTCCCTCCCAGCCGGCAGAGCCAGGCGACAGTGTGGGTACACCAGCCAGTGCACACACGCATCTACAGACATTTCTAGATGGAGCCGCCTGTGTACTGTTAAGCTGAACGTGGATTCATACCGCTGTCTCCAGCTCTCGCCCAACCGCATGTGTCATTCTGGCTGCCTCCCCTTGCTCGTCCGCAGCCTCCCTCCAGCAGTGAGAGCCCTGGCTCCACCACCCGCCACGCAGACACGTAACCGCTCCGTCCCAGTGCAGGTGCGCAGGAGGGTGACAGCTGCTGACCTGTGCCTGTGCTCATTCACTTTGATCCCCCTACCTTGCTCCACTGCCCTCCGCACCCCCTCATATGTTTATTTTCTGTTTTCCTGTTCCGTGACAATAGAAACTTGAGCTGCTGAGTCGCGCGCACCTAAAACTGCCTTAAACAAATCAGGTGCTAAAAATATTAGTTGAATGAGTATAATGAAAAAAATCCCTGATTACCACAATCAAGCAGATCTCAGTCTGGCCTTTCTTGACCAGCACTATTCAGCTATGAAGGTACTTATCTACCTCAATCAAATTATCATCATAGAATATAATTGAGACTTTTCATCAATTCAATGGACTTCTCTCTTCAATTGCTGCAATTGTACCCATCGAACCGAAAGCACGAACGATCACAATCACTTACAGCTTTTACTTTTCCTATCAGGTCTGACGTGAACCAACACTCTTCTTACTCCCCCCGCCTCCCAACCTAAACCTCCTGGACACCATCTACCGCTTTCAAATTTCCTAGACACGAGTGATTCTATGTGCCCTAGCTATCTATTGATAAATATTCTTTCCACATGTGTTAGGAACATGAACAACATAATCATGATCACAAGTTCAAATCACAGTGTTAAATGAGGAATTATATGAAAATTAAGCTTTTGACTTTAAGTTTCTCTTCCAAAAGAACTGAGAGGGCACATAAAATTAAATCCTTGGGAAAAAATTACATAGATTTGCTCTCTCTTCCTTAGTATGGAAGCCTGAGGTTTAAGAACAAAGACTAATAGGAAACATATGGAAAAGATCAGTAACAAGATGAAATCCTGGCCCAAATACAGTCTGCCATGTTTCACATACCAGTGCCTCAAATAATAGACGAGATTTTTACAGCACTGCCAAGCATCACTTGAAACACAGCATGCTTTTAAAAAACCTGAAGTATAACAAAATAAACCCTGTGATTTCTTTGTAAAAATCTAATGGTAAACACTGAGGACACAAGGACAAATTCCGGGATTCACTTTACCTTATTAGTTTGTACAAACTTTGAAGAGTCTTCCAAAGCATGAACTCAAGGTTCACTGCCAAGAAATACAAGTTAATTCTCTGTTTAAAATTAAAAAAAAAAACAAAACACTAGTGAAAAAATGTAGCATTTAAGCAGTTAACCACTACTCCTCAGGAAAACAATTCAGTGAAAAGAGATTTTTTACATCTACAAAATAAAGGCAACAGAAGTTCCTAATGGCATCTTAGTTAATACTACAAAATTATTTTTTGTACTAACCTAAAGAGGCAAATCAGAGATCTACCTTCTGAGTGCAAGACACTAAATTCCATCACCAGATTAATTTTTATTTCAAAGGTTTGTAGCAGGCGTTCTAGTGCACGGATTTGGGAGGAAGAGGAGGACAGTGATAGGGAACAGAAAAGAAGGTATAATTCTCTATGTGGAAAAGTTATATATTTAATCTGTGTCACTAATGACAAATCCCTTTGTTTAAAAAGTAAACTAGAGGGGTGCCAGGGTGGCTCAGTCGGTAAGGAACTGACTTTGGATTGGCTCAGGTCATGATATCGGGGTCCTGGGATCGAGGTTGTAGGGCTCCTTGCTTCCTTGTTCAGAGTGAAGCCTGCTTCTCCCTCTCCCTCTGCTTGTGCTCTCTCTCAAATAAATAAAATCTTTAAAAAAAAAAAGTAAACTAGACATGCAATGCTGTATGTTTCTAATCTTGGTTGCTTGTCTTCACAAAGGAAAGCCCTGGTGTGACGTGAGGTTTCAGACAAGGGACATTTCAAGACCACTCTTGAGTTCCACCTTAAATTGTTGAGACCCTGAGCTCCAAGTTACAGGGGACCTTAATTTGGAGAATTCTTTGGCATGAAAATGAAAATAAAAACAGTAATCAGTACATGCTGTTTCATTTAGTTCTGTTTGCCTTTCATATTAGAGGAAATTCTTGCCACACCTCAAACCAAAATTAAGGGGAAAGGAAAGGGAAGTAAGCCACATAAATCTGACCAACAGCACAAGCATCTCAATTTGAATCCACAAAGTTTTGGATAATGAAAAGAAATACATAATCTTAATTCAACCCAAGTGTTTTCCAAGCAGATTATATTTGCTTAAATTGCTACAGTAATTCAAGGACAGCCCTGTCTGGACACACAGTTACTGTGGATTTTTAAGAGACTCAGTTAAAGAATTTAGGAATATCTGATTCAATTTACAGGATTTGCAAATTCATCAACCCCTGAAAACTAAAGCAAACTTAACAGGTATGATGATAAAATAATTTTCAATTTTTTTTTTAAGAAACTGTTCCTACTATTAAAACTTCTTAAGTATATTTGATTTGTTTAACATTAAAATAGATCATAAAAGCACAATATTTGGAGGCAATATCTGATAAATCTACTTTAAAATTTGATTAGCAAAAATATTCAGAGAAAGCAGTAATACAGTGATTTAAATTTTCTAAGATTTACCCAATAAATAATCTTTGTTTAGATTTATTTTTAATTCAGAATGAAAGATTTTTACGTTAATGGCATCACTGTCTCCTCTCTCACTCTCAACTTTAAATGACAAAACTGGCAAATGTCTGTGAGCCATACATCTGGGTAGGTTGACAGATTCTGCTTGTAGGGAAGAAGGATGTTTGTATCGATTTCAATAGAAATTTTCTTAATATTTCTCTGTTGACCAAATCTTTGACAGTAACATATTTTTGCTTTCATTTGACTCTTTCTGGAAGGGAAGATGTGACTGCTCTATCTGGTACTAAAGGAAACAGTTCCCTGGGTTCTAGTTAAGATTTAAATGTAGTATGGCTAAAAATAATTTTGAAACTTTCTTATTTTTAGTAGTAAAAGGCTTACTTCCTCAGGCCTTGGGTGTAAAACAGGATGTAAACTAATTTATAGAGTTAAATTTAAAACCGCTTCGGAAAGAAATCTGAGTCTATTCTAATACTCTGGTTTCTTATATCCTAGTTTCTGTGGTAAATCAATAAAATAACTGAGTCTTTAACAAAATACAATAAGGCTTTCCAATTTCTTTAACCTTTCCAGAACAAAGTTCAATCTCATTTTAATTAGAACTTCCTTATGAAAGCACAAGTGCTTCTTCCCAACTAAGAGAGATGTTATAACATAGAAGCATTTATAGCTATAATATGAAAAATTCACATTAATGGATAGTTTTAAAAATCGGTAATATATATTTTCCATTGCTTTAAAGATTCTGTTCACATCTGTTACTTTTCTATTACTCTGTAATGGGAATAGCATGCTGTGACCGGAGACACCACTGGAGAGAACAGCCATGTTCTCTGTGACTGTGTCCATTTAAAGAAAACGACTGCGGCAAAATAATACCTGGAAATAATCAGCATTAGTAGCGACACGCATCGCTAACAGGATGCAATCTGTAATTTATTTATCCAGTCATCCATTCAACAAATGTCTGAGCACTTATACACTGTGCATTATACTAGATTCTGCCAGAAATTAGGTCAGGAAGTGGGAGACTGACGGTGAGTGTTCTGTTTTGCTATGAGCAATTCTATAGGGAATGAAGCATAAATTGTAGAACATGAAAGGCAGAAGTAATAAAAATGTGCTTTGCAAATGGCTAGGAAGAGATCAGTTGAATGGAAAATCTGAATTAAAAAGAAATAAGAAGTCATTATAACAGGAAAACTCACCAGAGAGGAAGTTGAAGACTAAGATGAATAGGAAATAATGGGCGTCTGGATGGAGACAGGGTTGATTTCAAACCAGAAAACTGGACTTGGTCAAAAGGAAGAGGGATCAGGCTGAGCTGCAGAGCCAAGGCCCTTAGAGGACGATTCAGAAGAGAAACTGTCCTTAGGGAAAGCCTATCTTCATAGGTGGCCAAGAAGACTAAAAGCAGCCAACACTAAAGAATCCCTTTATTTTCAGGGAGACTTCCATAATGAGGTCTTGATCCCAAGTCAAAGGGACGCATTTAAGTGTCGGATTGAAAGTATCACCAGGTCTCCTTTTTCCCAATATATTTCTCATAATTGTTAAATAGAGTCAAGACCTTCATTCTCAAATGTAAGGTTAGTGATTGATTATTGCTACTGTTCTTTTTTTTTTTCCCAAAGATTTTATTTATTTGACAGAGAGATAGAGAGCACAAGTAAGCAGAGCGGCAGGCAGAGGGAGAGAGAGAAGCAGGCTCTCCGCTAAGCAGGGAGCCCGACATGGGGCTTGATCCCAGGACCCTGGAATCATGACCTGAGCCGAAGGCAGCTGCTTAACCAACTGAGCCACCCAGGCGCCCCTATTGCTACTGTTCTTAATACAAGGATGAAATTCAGAGCTCTGATGAGCAATGCTCATTTCAAAGTTTGTGTAACAGTCAGCTTCCAAGACCCCCCTCCATGCCTTACCTCCCCCCACCCCTGCAGCGGCATGCCTCTGCCCTGCTTCTACGTATACCTTTGTGAGACACAGCAAACTTACAGTAGAACCCTGTGGTGCAATGAGACTGAAGTGAAGTATGACATGTACTTCAAAAAGTTAATATGCTCCACTATAATAAGTACTATAAAAACTACACATTTAACACATAAAGTATTATCAACTAGTGAGTAAAATGTATAGGATGTTCTACACCCATTCCTGCTAATCTCCCAAGATCTGGAGCAAATGATACTACAAAGACTTCCCCGTCTGCCCGAGGCAGGGTTAAGCCACTATACCCATGGCACTGGGGTCTAGGCGGTAAACATTAATTCCCTTTGTCTGAGAATATGGTTTGCCATGTTGGGTCTCTCCGATAAACCGTATGCTCTTTATGGAGGGGACCACATCTTCCTTCATGTCTTCATCTCTGTGTTCCTCACCAAATACAGTGCCTCACACTCAGAAGTAACTGCAGTCTAAACTCAACCAAAGTTTAACTACTAATATCTGTAAGGTGGTTGACTAGCCAGGTTCACACACAACCTCTAGTACAGGTCACTAAGGCAGCAGACCCAGTTGGAGCTTTCCAGCACCCTGAGTTAGCCAGAACTGAACACTGCCTTTCAGGGTGAGATGATCTCCCTGCAGGACTTTCTCCTACTTCACCCACCAACAATTCAGCGTGAAGATTGTGGCTCAACTACCTTAATGAATTAAATTAGGTGTTCATTCCCTGAGTGCAGACTCCACAGGTCAGAATTCAGGCCCTCTAGATTCTGGTCCAGATTAGCTATGACAGTCTTATTTTACTCCTTCAATAGCTAACCACTATTTCCCAAGTACCCTACTCTTTGTTCCTTACATGTTTTGGTCATCTCTTCTGTCTGGAAATCTTCCTGGTCTTCCTCTATGAGAACCCTAACATTCTTCAAAATCTAGGTCAAATGTCACATCCTCTATGAATCCCACCGATATGAAGGAACAGTGCATACAGTCTACTGAGATTTGTAAAACGATTGTTTTAAAAGATCAAACCATTGCTATTTTGACATATTCTGTAGGTAGGGATGAGATTAAATATAACAAAACATACATAGGAGTAAATCATTGTTTTGTTTGATCCTATCCTCTTGGTTAAAAAAAAAAAGGCAGCGGCAGCAAGGTGGTCATTCCAAACTGATGGGAAATGGGAATTTTTAGAGGCTTGTCTAGGAGCAAGGGAAAAGGAATGCAGTAAGGACATGTCCTTGAGCAGCAATGAGTGGTCATGAATTTCAAGTGACACCAGCTGGTGTGGTCAGTTTTCTCTCCACTTGCTCTGCTGCATGAGTCAGGCTGCATGTAGATGGACAATTGAAGGAACAGGATTGGAGATTACCAGAAGAATAAGAGGATGAAAGGGGCCAGAGGATCAGGGACCTGTGCAAACAAGTGACAACGGTGATGGGCCGTGGGGTCCAGGCCACAGAGAGGAACTGAGTGCATTGGGAGGTATGAATAAAGGACAGTGAAAACACAATGGGTTCCCCATATTTACGTCCTACTGAAATTGAGGAATTACTACAGCTGGAGCTACTCCGTGGGGTAAGTTATAAAGACAAGCCGAGGTGTGAAGGAGCTACACCCTGGTAATGACAAGGCCCACGCTCTGGGTGCACAGGAGGGAAGAAAAGATCAAGGGTCCCTGACTCTACTTAAATATCAACTCCAAATCCCACGTTAACACATAATTACATTCCATACATTTATAGTTCCTGACAAGAAAATAAAAAAGAATCTAAGATGTTAGGGTCTAAGGTAGACTTTGTCAAATGGGGTCTGTTATAGACAATGATTTAAATAACTATCTTTTCAATTATCCCAATGATGAAAAATAGCTTGTACCACTCTAATGACTAATGGGATAGAGAAAAGTCAGTTCATGACACACAGGGACATGTTACATTAATTCTCAGGAAACCCTGAATGAGAGAGTTAGAGAAAAATACCTGCAGAATCAAAGAGGTAAGATTTTTTGTTTGTTTTCCTTCCTTTTAACCTTTATCTAAATAACAAACTTATCCATCTGGATCACTTTCTAACCTGCAAGGCACTTTTACATGCATATCTCACGTGACTGTCACAACCACTACTTGAGATAAGCTAGGAAACAATTACATTTCTCATTTTCATGAGGAGGCAAGAGGCAGGCATGTTAAGTGGCTTGACCGCCCTAAGTGACAGATGGGAAGTGAAGGTCTCCAGGCTCCTCATCCAGTAGACCACCACTACAACTTCAAGTTAACGGTCTTTCTCAAGCTGAGTACTCCTCCCGTGAAGTATACCCCTTATACACCCTCCTCCTCCCTGTACTGTGTGCATCTTTCTGAATCTCCACCAGACTTCAACTCCTGGGAGACAAGACAGTGTGCTTTCAGTATCTATTTATCTAGGACTTAACTCAAAAAATTAGTGGAAAGAAAGAAAATATATAGAATAACCTACTAAAAGCTCAAAGTTTGTAGATGGTAAATATTGCGTGTATTTGGGATTCGAGTCAAGTGGATCAGAGACAAAATAATTGGATTCTGGAAACGGTTTCATGGGGGAAAACTGGAAGTCATGGTTAGACTTGGCCAGAAACACTAAGAGGAAAGATGAGAGCTATTTTGAATATCTCAAACTCTTACATAAAAAGGAATGTTTCATGTTCTTCCAAGGGCAGAAAAGAGCATCGAAAAACAGAAGCTGCAGTGGGAAAATATTGGTTAATATTAACTAAGACCAAAAGCGTCTCCTCTCATAGGTAATGACCATCACTGAAGGGACCATATAGTTAGTGGAACAATCAGCATTTTTAGTGGATGGAATACCCAGCTTTGGGGTTGAGAGGTCATGTTATCATTGTAAATCTATAGGAAGCAAGACAAACTAGGATTCCCTTCAAAGATGGGTATGTAGTCTTGTTCAGTGTAAAATGTGACTTTTTAAAAAAAATACCACCTTATTGGTACTTAAACATTAATTTTGGTTTGAGCATTGCCCATTTATTCTGGATTGTTTTATATATTTCAATACAGATACAGATATTATGCACTTTATGTAACTGTTAATTTACACAAAAATTCTTCTAGGATTTACTGACTTTTCCCACAATATATTTGCTTTCTCCTTATAATAGGACAAAAAAAGGAACATGGGCTTTTTAAGTCTAGCACATGTCCTTTTCTTCTTTTTTGGAGTCAAAGTATATTGCCAATATGAAAATTATCAATGGGATGAAGATTATGATCAAGACCCAGATGATGTCTACCAACCAGAATTCCAATTTCATCAAAATGAGGACTTTCAAGTTCCTTTTCATCAGTATATGTTAGGCTGTGCCACTGAATGCTTCTGTCCACCCAATTTTCCATCATCAATGTATTGTGACAATCGCAAACTCAAGACTATCCCACGTGTCCCAGCACACATACAGCAGGTCTACCTTCAATTCAATGAAATTGAGGCTGTGACTGCGGATTCATTCATCAACGCAACTCATCTCAAAGAAATCAACCTCAGCCACAACAAAATTACATCGCAAAAGATTGATCATGGTGTGTTTGCTAAGTTGTCAAATCTACTACAACTTCACCTACAGCATAACAATTTAGAAGAATTTCCATTTCCTCTCCCTAAGTCTTTGGAGAGACTTCTTCTTGGCTATAATGAGATCTCCAGATTGCAGACAAATGCCATGGATGGGCTAGTAAACTTGACAATGCTTGATCTCTGTTACAATCATCTCGAGGATTCCATGTTACAAGAAAATGTACTTGCCAAAATGGAAAAATTAATGCAGCTCAACCTATGTAATAACAGATTAGAGTCAATGCCTCCTGGTCTGCCTTCTTCACTTATGTATCTGTCTTTGGAAAATAATTCAATTTCTGCTATACCAGAAAATTACTTCAAAAAACTTCCCAAACTCCAGGCTCTACGAATGTCACACAACAAACTACAAGATATCCCACATGATATTTTTAATCTTCCCAACCTTATAGAGCTCAATGTTGGACACAACAAACTGAAGCAAGCATTCTATATTCCAAGAAATTTACAACACCTATACCTAGAAAATAATGAAATTGAAAGTATGTAAAATTTCATTATCTTTTTTAAACACAAAGGAATATTATGCTGATTTTTTTTTTTTTGAAGATTTTTATTTACTTATTTGAGAGAGAGGGATAGCAGAGAAGCAGGGACATTGAGAGAGGGAACACAAGCATGGGGAGTAGAAGAGGGAGAAGCAGGCTTCCTGCTGAGCAAAGAGCCCAACATGGGGCTTGATCCCAGGACTCTAAGAACATGACCTGAGCTGAAAGCAGAAGCTTAACTGACTGAGCCACCCAGGCACTCCTAAAGAAAAAATCTTTTTTAAAAAACATCTATGCTTTACACATTGCTGAAGATAGTTGACTTAAGTAGCTAGGGAAATGGCCTAAGCTAGCCTCAGAAAGGTGTGCTATAAAAGTTTATAGCCTTGGGGCACCTGGGTGGCTCAGTGGGTTCAGCTTCTGCCTTCAGCTCAGCTCTTGCTCTCAGGGTGGGATCGAGCCCCACATCATGCTCTCTGCTCAGCAGGGAGCCTGCTTACCCATCTCTCTCTGCCTGCCTCTCTGCCTACTTGTGATCTCTCTCTGTCACATAAATAAATGAAATTTTAAAAAAATAATAAAAGTTTATATTCTTTTCTTTTAATGATTTTATTTATCTATTTGAGAGAGAGAGACAGAGAGAGAGAGAGAGAGAGAGAGAACGCACAAATCGGGAGCAGGAGAGCTTAACCGACTGAGCCACCCAGGCACCCAAGTTTATAGTCTTTTCTATGTAATGTTATCACTTTGAACACTGACAAGTAGTACTGTAGAGTATCTGAAAAAATAGGAGCTTCCTGAGTAGTTGGGACTAAAGGTGTTTTTTACTTTGTTCTTTTTGAGATTACTTGTACTATGAATTTATTACATAACAAATAATTAAATAGCCAAAAGAGCCACCATTTTTTTCAAGTTTTAATTCCAGTACAGTTAGCACACAGTGTTGTGTTAGTTTCAGATGTACAATACAGTGATTCAGCTTTTCCATCCATCACCCAGTGCTCATCAGGACAGATGCGCTCTGAAAGCCATCATTTACTTTGAGAACATATAATTCATCTGTAGTTTCATTTTCTTCATTTTATTATTTGATTACTGTAAAAACTAATTAAACCTAATTCTACCTATAAGGATTTTAATAAGACTATCTCATATTTTAATAAATTCCAATGTAGGATCTAGATGTAATGCAGCAGGATTAATCTTTAATTTGTATTTTTCAGATATCAATGTTACAGTGATGTGTCCGTCTGTTGACCCACTGTATTACCACCACTTAACGTACATCCGTATGGACCAAAATAAGCTGAAAGAGCCAATAAGCTCATACGTTTCCCTCTGCTTTCCTAATTTACACACTATTTATTATGGTGAGCAAAGAAGCGCTAATGGGCAAACAATACAACTGAAGACTCAAGTTTTCAGGAGATTTCCGGATGATCCTGATAGTGAAGAACATGAAGATCACCAAGAAGGTCCAGAACAAGAAGAAACAGAAGAAAACACTGACCCTCTCTATTACGGAAGTTAAGAATGGCAAGAAACTATATAGGTATATATTTATGATTGTATACAATGGTATTATTCAGTATTAATTGAACTAAACATGGAAGGCTCACAGTAATATATCTAGAATCATGCATTAGTATAAGATCAGACTGAATTTAAGTTGTTGGTAACACTTGCATCATTACACAGTATTCAAACTTACTTAAAATTACACAAGTCTTTAGAAATATAAATTAGAATGACATGGGAATAAAAAACTAAACTTTAAAAATAACAGTATTATCAGGCTGAGGAGAAAAGAAAGTATGCCATCTCTAGTGATATTAACTGTTGTAAGAGTGACGAAAACAGCAGCACTAGAAGCCAAGAACTGGAAGAGGCCAGCGCTGAGATGCCCGGGCTTATGTTCATGTAACGGGCAGTCATTCACTCAGGAGTCCGTTATTTTCTTTGACTTGATCTCCAGAAAAGCATTCACACTTGTATGTGAAATCTTATCACCATGACATCCACCTCCCTGGCCCTACCACTGAGAGCAAGAGAGGATGCTTCTGATTTTCAAAAGAGGCCATTCTGCTACAGATCCAAGACTTGTAGTTTCACGAAATCAACTGGTCTTTGTTTTTCTCCCAGAGCACCAAAGCCACACAATTCTAAAACATGTATTTGGATAACTAAAAAAAACACTAAACTGTCTCATCACAATCATATTTTAGCAGATTTCAGCAACTGTCCAAAACAATCTGTCTTCCATTTTAGTGGGGATCAATGTTTCTATAGTAAACTCACTAGGGAAAGTTTTTGTTGTTATTGTAGCTACACAGAGACTCACCAATAAATAACTGCTTTGCTCACATGGTTAGTTTAGCACACAACAGTATACCAGCATTATTAAAACACTTCCATTTTCCTAGCACGATAGAGTAGAAACACGTATGAGCATCAGCCCATATTTATTTAATTAGTGCTAAAGCTGAACAGAGTTCCTTTACAATTTGGACAAGCTTTGATACCTTCTTTAAAACCTTAGACACACCTATTATTTAGCCTGTCATTTTGAAGTATTTTAAGTACGCCTTGTAAAGAAGATGATGGAAGTGCTGTGATGAGCTCTTCTGACTTATCAGCTGACATTTCAGAGTTCCTCAGGAGAGGAAGAAACAGAGATAGGGAGACCTACACAGGGAACCCAAACCATAAATGTTAATAATGTGGACAACAGGCCAGGACCAGACATTTGGGTGCTTTCCACTTTTTGGCTGTTAAAACTTTAGGAGTTTTCAAGTGGTGAGTCTTTATTTTGCTGGAGATAAAGTGGAAAATGAAGCTCCTAACGATCTTTATTTCTTTCATCAAATTATTAGCATTTAGCAGAAACAGAACACCCACCTGTCCCAAAGGAATAGCTCAACAATTCAGAATGAACACAAATAACACTCCATTCATTCATTTAATTAACATTCATCAAGGCATTTGGTGTGTAAGGCTTAGCAATAAGGGCAAGAAACAGAATGTATGTGCACTTGTGATACCTCAAGATACAACGGTGAGGGTAGCAGAGCAAAATTCTAGTAATGTGGACAAAGCACACTTCCAACAGAGGTGAAAAAAAAAATTAAGGCCCACTTAATATTGGAAAATACTATGCGTGTTTCAGGATATAAAATAGATACAACTATTTCTAACCTAAAACAATTTAGAAACTAAAGAGAGGCCATCAGGGAAATGCCCCTGAAAACCCTAAGAGACCCTTCCACAGTCACTGGGAGGGCTTGAACCAAGAAGACAAGACCCAGAACAGACGTTATTAGCAAGGAGGCAGAGAGAGTAGGGCTCTCACACACTGCTGGTGGGATATCCAGTGGTGCAGCTGTTTTGGAAAGCAGTGTGGCAGTTCAAAATTTAGTCACTTAGGATACAGCCATTCCACTGCTAGATACATACTCAAGAGAACTAAACACATATGTTCACACAGAAATATGTCAGCAAATGTTCAGAGCAGCACTATCTACTAACAGCCAAAAAGTGGAAAGCACCCAAATGCCCATCAGCCGATGAATGGATAAATAAATTGAGGTATAAACACCCAACAGAGTATTACTTAGCCGAGAGAAGAAATGAAGTACTAAAATGTCATGCTACCACACAGATGAGCCAGGAAAACATCTAGCAATGTGAAAACTCCATCACAGAAGACTGCACAACAGTATGACTCCATTTAAATGAAATGCTCAGAACATGCAAATCTGTAAAGACAGAAAGATTCCTGGTTGCCTGGGGCTGCAGGAGGGGAAGAGGGTAAGTGGGGAGTGACTGTCAATGAGCAGAGGGTCTGTTTTTGGAGGGAATGAAAATGTTCTAAAACTGATTGTGGTGATGGCTGTGTAAATCTAAAATTACCAAAAATTATTGAATCGTAGATTTTAAAAGGGTGAACTATATGAGGTGTGAATTGTCTCAATAAAGCTGTTAATAGAAAAACTTAAAGAAAATAATATCAACTCATTCTTTTTTTTTTTTCAGATTTATCTATTTATTTATTTGACAGATCACAAGTAGGCAGAGAGGCAGGCAGAGAGATGGGGGAAGCAGTCTCCCCGCTCAGCAGAAAGCCCAATGCGGGGCTCGATCCCAGGACCCTGGGACCATGACCCGAGCTGAAGGCAGAGGCTTCAACCCACTGAGCCACCCAGGTGCCCCCCTCCTAAACTGATTTTTAAAAATCCTCAGAGAACAGGCTTTGTGAGGAATGAAACTGCACAATTTAGCAACTGAAAACAAGTTATGTGGAATGTGATAAAACCTGCAGAAGTCGGACTTGAGACTCCTAAGCCAGATGCCAGAGTAAGGGGCTGAACTCTGAAGCCCCTCTTCCCACATTCCTTCGAGGAAGCTGGTTCTCCTAGAGCTACTGAAAGAATAAAGAGAATTTGTATGTGTGACAGAGCGCTGAACAATGTGCGTGCCAGTTCCCGGCACCCAGCGAGCAGTAAGTAGTCCTTGAGGACAGCCGGCCTAGCAGCCTGCAGGATCTGTGTGCCCCCAGATGTCAGACCTGGGTGTGTTCTCAGGGACACTAGAAAAGAGCCAGCATCTCCGTGGGTTCCTTCCAAGATTCTTTTTGTATAAAAGACAAGTGAGGGGCGCCTGGGTGGCTCAGTGGGTTAAAGCCTCTGCCTTCAGCTCAGGTCATGATCTCAAGGTCCTGGGATCGAGCCCCGCATCGGGCTCTCTGCTGAGCAGGGAGCCTGCTTCCTCCTCTCTCTCTCTGCCTGCCTCTCTGCCTACTTGTGATCTCTGTCAAATAAATAAATAAAATCTTTTTAAAATAAATAAATAAATAAATAAAAGACAAGTGAACAAGTTTTTACCAAAGGTTTTCTTAGGGAGAGAGTAAAGTGTACTTAAGTCCTACACCCCAAACACACATATTCCAGGACACTATTTGCCAGTTCAGCTTTCCAGAGCACCCTTCGACAGCCTGCCAGGGCAGAGAACACAGCCCCCCCCCCCCCCCGCCCCCTAACTGGGCACCGCACCCTGCCTGGCTCCTCCAGCCTAATTGGAAGGGGTCAACTCGCTCTACTCCTCCCTCCAAAGGGGTGTGTGTGTAAATGGCTCATCCTGTTGCAGGCCTCAATGAGGAGGCAGGTTAACAACCATCTTTTGCTACTTGAAAACGGCCCTGAGGAACTCATACCCACCCCAAGTATTTCTCATTAAAAAACAAAAATGAAACCCAGTGCTTTCCTTAAGAAAAACTGAAGAATAAAGTACTTCTTTAAGTAGCACATCAAGACTGCACAATTATCGGGGCGCCTGGGTGGCTCAGTGGGTTAATGCCTCTGCCTTCGGCTCAGGTCGTGGTCCCGGGGTCCTGGGATCGGGCCCCACGTCGGGCTCTCTGCTCGGTGGGGAGCCTGCTTCCCTTCCTCTCTCTCTGCCTGCCTCTCTGCCTACTTGTGATCTGTCAAGTGGATAAATAGAATCTTAAAAAAAAAAAAAAAAAAGACTGCACAATTATCTATCACATCTACAGACAAAACCTGTTGATCTGATATTTACAACAGAGGAAAAAATGAAAATTCATCTATTTTCTCATTACACTTAAAAGCATTAGTTAGCTACTAGGCTGAGCTGTATTTGTGATCACTGACAAACCCAAATCATTCCATGAACCACGTTTAGTTAACAAACAAAAGCATAATACACTATTAGCTTTTAGAAAGAACATAAAAATAAAGGATATTTCATAAATTTGCTCACAATAAAACTGGTTGAGAATGTTAGGCTTGTGCTTATGTATTACCTGAAACACTCTACATTTTCCCTTTATTCCTCTGGTTGGGACCACTAAACTGAAGTGCAGATGTGTGCATATCATGTAACACATTTAACCAACTCCAAGGGGGAAAAAACAGAAGAAATAAACCTTGTCTCTCCTTCATACTTTTACTACTGCAAAGAATTCATAGGACCCAAAGGACAGCTAGAAATGAAATCCTGGTTTCCTGATTCCAAATCCATTTTTTTCCCCTAATTCTTGGAAATAAAGTATAACAGCAGTTGGAAACAAAATTAAACCATAACAGCGAAAAAACCCCTAAACTTTCTTATATGTCCCAAATTCCTAAATAAATATAACTATGCATAGCAAATAAATATCCCATTCTCATGGAAATTACATGGAACTTGCATTACTTTACCGGCTTAGTTAGGCTGCCAATTCACTATATGGGGATTTATGTACTATTTGGAAAAACTTACAAGTACAGTAAATTTTTAACATGAATCCTTCCTCTCATCAGGTCAAAATTAAATTTCATCCTTCAGTCTGGTAAATACTTTGATCTCATCTTTATCTCACCTGACCACATGACTAGGCTTCAGCCATAAGAAGATTTGAGATGAAGATCAACTCTCAGACTTTCCATAAAATCCTAGAATGTTGCCTAAAAGGGACTATAAATATCTAGTAACTCAATGATTCTCAGTGGTGGCAATTTTGCCCTCCAGGGTGTGATACTATGATTTATAAGAAAGATATTTTGGGTCTTCACATTTATGGTTCCTGGCTCACAATTCCCAGAACCCCTAAACTTAGAAGAGCGATTAAGGTGTCTTTTGTCATATTAATGCAGATGACGTTGGGGCCCCACTAAAGGGGGGGGTGGCTGGCTGCCAGGAGGACCAAGCAAGGCCACCTGCTATCTTGGCAGAGGGGAAGGGGCTGGAGGTTGAATCGGCCCATGGCCAATGACTTAGTCAATTAGGACTACGTTTGGAAGCCTCATAAACACCCAGAAGGATGGTTTAGGGGGGCTTCCAGCTGAACAGGAGGAGATGCCAGAATTGGGGGTACCTGAAGCTCTGTGCCTTCCCTAGACCCTGCCCTATGCATCCTTTCAACTAGCTGTGGATTCAGATCCTTTGTCACAACCTTTAATAAACTGGTAAACGTAAATGTTTGGCACTTCCAAAGCTGGAGTGCTGGTAAGGACAATTCTCTGTGCAATGGTTCTTTGTGGAGCCTAAAATGGGGCGTATGGCAAGAGCCTGTGAGTGCCTCCCGGTGCTGACTGTAGGAACTCCGGACCGGAGAATTAACATTTGAGGGGCTTTACTAACCTGCTGTTGGACATTATTAATTGAAGCCATCCCTAGGGACTGAAGGACATAAAAGG